TGGGCACATTATTTAAAAATTACCGAATAAATTGGTAAAAAAAAACTCTAGTTTCAATAGTTTGACCGTCGCGTCGTCGTGTGACACAACAGCGGCGACAGATAAAAAATATCTATTTAAAAAACGCGCTTTTATTGGCTATATTATTATCCTGTTATTTTATAGGTACCGCAACGACGTTCGATTTTCGATAAACGCTGTGAATAATATATCTCCGTTAAGAGAAATTATTATTCTCAATTCGAATTTTCGTTCTCCTTGTGTGGGCCATAATACAATGACAATATTTCTATGGGTGTACGCCTACCGCTGTTGTAGAAAACGCATATGTTTACATAGTTGTGTGGGCGCTACAAATTAACAAGTAGCCAATATTCGAGGTGATTTAGTTGAAAAATTGCAAAATTGTTGTCCTTAATATGAAAGAAATTCAAACGAATAACAAATCAACTTCATGTGTTTGCATTACTATTGGAATTTACTCAATAGCGGCTTGCTTCGTATTAATTATTTTCTACAATAGCGATTAAAGCTTGGGTATTTGTACGGAGTTTCAATTGTTCAATGCTTTTGAACGATTTCAACTGGTCGGCGATTTTCCATCTAATAAATATCCATTATGTTGTTCGTGGTTCTTCTATAACGGCAACATATTGGGTGGTCGACCTGGCTATAGTCGAACACATCAAAGGTATAACAACCCCTATTCTGTTCAAGGATGGTAGAACGAAGGCAATTTTCGGTAAATTTCAATCGGCCAGCCAGAGCGGTCAGGAGCGTATAACTATTTGGCCCCAAAGAAGTCTTATGTACACGTTTAACTACATGTTTTATAATGTCCATTGTGAAGATGTTGGTCCTGACGTTTTCTTTTTTACCGCGTATTGCATTCAACCGGTATGGTCAAGCCAGATGTAGACGGCAAACATTGCTGGGACCCTAATTTGAATTTTTTATTTTTTTATTATCATTTCTAAATAGTATCATCTTGATTTCTACCGTTTATGGCCAAGCGTTGGCATACGTTTGGTCGGGAATTTCGTTCGTGTTTGTTTTTTTATACGTCTTGGGTGAAATTAAAATTGCCATTGGGTGGTGGTTTTACTTCGGTCAAACCCACTCGGTTTTGCACGGCATCCATATCAAAACTCGACGAGGCTCGTCCGAAGATGATGTGAATAATTCATCAATTTCGAACTGCCCGAGTTGACCGAATCACAATAACATAACAAACAAACAAAACAACATTAGCGAATTGTGTACTTATAAAAACACCACTCGACGACGTTTCATTCACGAACTGCTCATGAATAAGACAAGTTACGTTCGCAAAGCTTCTCCTCGGGCAATACATACAGTCCGTACAAGTGTAATGTTGTGGTTATTTTCAAAAAAATATATAAGTGCACATTAACATTCCAAACGTCTGCTCGTCGCCATCGCTGGTGGGCCCGGACAACAAATTATGTATCGAGGTCTTTACTCGAAATGATATTGTACACCTTTGCGGATTACCCGTCTGGTTGCAAAAATATTCGGCAGACGTTCCAGATCCGGTTGGACGGCACACAATACACACTCAAACAATTTTTTTTTTTTTTTTTTTTTGGCAATTTTATTACAGCAATATTTGTTGACACAGTGAAATCGCAATGGCGGCGTGGGAGTTGCGCGTCGCCATCATCGTCGGTATTTTAAGACGTCCGGGTGGGTTGTTATAGAGAAATTCGCCGGATGTGAGTTTCCAAAACGAGATTCACCACTCTTCGGCTACCGAAAACGCCGCAGACCCTCGTAAAACGTTTTAGCATAATCACGAAAATGTACATTATACACGGGTACCTTCCGAAAGGGGGACACACGAAAATCAATAGTCCTTTGCGTTTTGTGTGTATTTGTTTGCGGGTGCAGTCTATGTGTAGTGAAACGATATAAAACAAAACAACACCGCTGTACCGATTTCACCCCGACGACCGTTTTGGACTTGCTAAATATAGGTCAACGGCGGTGCGGTTGTGTGTTGTGTAGACATTATAATATTGTATTTTATACGTTATGGTATAATGTGGTTCGGCACAGGTATTATTATTATTATATTATATTATATATTGTTCGACCTCGTCCGGTAACCCCGCACACGGTCGAGTTGATGTTATTTCGGCGGAATATATTTTAATATATTATTCATAGGGCGGCCGAGTCGACACATTCATTATTTAAAAAAAAAAAAAAAACAGAAACCTATTTCGTACAAGCGTGGTGGGACGGGTCATCGACAATAACTTTCCGCCCTTTTGAACTAAACTAACTACTGTTCAAGAGATTACTAAATATGTATATGTATATATAATATGAATTTTCGCGTACTCCATTCATTTTACGGGTATCCCGGGTATAATCCGGATTCGAATTTTTCGTAGCATTCAAAAGCTCGCCAAGTGTTCCGAATTCCATTGACCGCAAGTATATACGATGAAAGATGCATAAAAAATAAGCCAGATTGCTATGAAATCATACCCTCTCCTTCCCCAACCCTCTAGATCTTTACTGGTTGTGTTTGATAAATAATTAAAGGAGTTTGGCTTGGTCGCCAAATGTCAGGCCGGGCATCTGCGACCGGGTCACTTGCTTTCGCCCCCCCCCCTTAGCTACCCTTTACCCTGCTTCCTAATGTACTGTTTACTTTTGTTTTTCGTGACTTTAGACACGCTCGCGTATTCCGTTCGTGCGTTATTCGTTATTGCACATTTATTAAGAGTATTCGTATGTTATACACTTCGAGACCGGATATATTTATAATAAGCAGTGTGCAGTGCGACGGCTTAATTTATTCTGAACATCGCATCGATATTCACTTATATATTCTAGACAATATATTTTATAATGCAGGACGTTGGGTGTAGACTAGGAGAAGTTAAGTTTTCCACAGATTTCAAACGATTTCGGCGAAGGACGTCCAAGACTGAGACGTTTAAGGCAATAAGACAGTGCTTATTCTGCTGAACACAACGTCATTTGCTTACAAAAAGGGGAAAGAAAAGTAAAACACAAAACAAGATAAAAAAAAAAATACAAGTAGTAACAACAACGTGTGTAAACGGTAACGGACCTTGAAGTAAACCAAAAATATTGTCATTTGTCATCTTTGTAAAATTCTGTGCACGTTTGTGTGTGTGTTGCCCGCCGAAGGACGAGTGTGTCTCCATTCTTATCGTCCGAACTAACACAACATTTTGTATATTTTATAAAAAAGGTTTTTGTATTGTTTTAATAACGAAATTCGGTCGGCATTAGCATAAACGCCACCAGTGTATATCGTAGTCCTAGAGAAACGATATTTGTTGATTACATACTATATTACTATTGTCTATTACATACTTATTAGTTCTTTTGTATTTTTTTACAATTGAAATCAGTTTTTTTAATTTAAATAGTTAAATGTAAAACATTAAAAAGAGTAATTACACCATATAGTGTATATATATTTTGAAAAACGCACAATTATGATTCTAATTTTTACATCAACAAAAATCAAGATACATAATATACACACCATAAACTATTCACGTGGTCTATGAACATCCAATCGATAATCTTAGATAACATTGGTAATCAAATTATTAAAACTATTAAATCATCATGTTTTTGTTGATAAAAAAATATGATAATTTATAATCTGGCAATTATCACTTTGATAACTAGTGTAAAATATTAATTCATTTTTAACCAGATGACAACGACCACCATACTTACGGACAACAAAAGAATTTAAATCTAATACTTAATTTGCTGCCAAAATATGATTTAAAAATATTGTAAAATATTAATAAACATTGTAACATTTTTAAATAAAAATAATGATTTTTCTGCCTGGGAAGACATTTTTCTCTAATCTCTTTCAAACAAACAAATAATTATTGTCAAAATCGTTCTACGAGGAATGACGTACGAAAATGATTATAAGTTTTATAAAAAGTTTTATACTTTAAAAATATTACTCTTTAAAGCCAATATAAATTAAAACCTTTAAACCTTCTTGTAAATTTGCTTACGTAAAGTTAACGTGATCGAAATTAGTCTATATTTTTCCTCTTGACAAATAATCGGGCCTGGACAAATCATAAAAAAAGATTTGCGCCGTAAACGTGTTATAAAAAAAACCGTTTCCAAACGCCAATTACTATCGGCTTTATCTAAGCCCCATTCTGTTCGTTGTTAATACCAAAATAAATTACAATAATGTTTTTGTTGTACAGTACAGTACAGCACAGTGATAATTAGGAGTATTTTCGATAATTAATTGGTTAATAATTTTACTATTTACCCAACGCGCACTGTCGTCAGCCGGCAATTAGGCGTTTCCCAAAATACAAAATATAATAACGTCTTCCGATTAAGCTGTTACACTGCCGATAAGACATTAAAGGCCAATAAAATATTACACAATAATCTTATTACTATATTAGCGATTACTATATTCGATTCTGATGTCTTATTAAAAAACCCGAATAATATCAGATAAAACGGCCGTTTCTCGATGAGTATTTGGGATTTTCGGTGCACATTTTCTACCAATTACTCGTGTGACGTTATGCCTTATGGCCAAGCGTCACGGAAAGAACCGTCGTGAGTAATCAAAGCACAAACGTATTCCCTCTGAGTGTGCGTCCGCGGTGTCCACGGCCGCCGCCGTTACGTCACCCCCGCAGACGCCGCACGCGACTCGGCGTCCAGTCAACGCGCTTGATTGTCGATGGTCGACAACAAATTGTGTATATTATTATAAATAACGTTAATAATAAATAATTATTACGCGATATAATCGCCGTAGTAGTAGTAATTACGGCGAGTAGTTGTGGGTAATAACAATATTATTATTATTCGACTGAGCGACGGCAGATGGCGCCACGTGCCACGCGGCAAACTGTCGGCGGCTGAGTTTCTCCGGCCGCCGTCGCCGCTGCCGTGGTGGTGTGACTCAGCAGCAGCAGCAGCAGCAGCAGCAGCAACGACGGCACCGGTATTCATTCGTCTGCCCGGTCTCGTCTGGCCCGCTTCGACTGTTTATCCGCCAAAGAACGCGTGCGTTTCATCCGTGTGTGTGTGTGTGTGTTTGTGTGTGGTGCGTGCATGTGTGTGTACGTTATTCTCACGTGATACTATTTATTTTTGGTGCGCGCGTCGGTTCGTTGCCGTTAAGACATTTTTGTGTCCGTATATACAATATAAATACGCGCTTTGTTTTTTTTTTTTTACCGCCGTTAGTTTTGTTAAGTAAAAGTCGGGGTTTTTTTTTAAAAAATAAAGAATTTTGCTTCCGTGTTTGTAGACGAAATTTTGCCGGGTTTTTTATTTGTTTTTGTTCTTTTCGAATGCGTCCGAAACACTCGCCGTCTTGCGATACACGTTGGCACCGTAACGTTAGATCGCGACAGAATATTATTTCGCCGGCCGCCAAACGGACACCGGACGCATTTCGAACGCCGCGGCGTCACGCCATCGAGTCAGTATAGTGCCGCCGATAATTAATGCGTGCGTACCGTGGCCGCCGCTGTCCACCGTCAACTGCCGCCGCCGTGGATGACCACGATGTCGTCGATGACCACGTGTTTCGTCGTTAGTTACGTGCCGTTCGTGTTGAGCGTGACGCTCGTGGCCAACACCGTGTTGGACGTGGCCAGCCGGGGCGCAGTAGCCACCGCCGTGGCCGCGGCCGCCGGTTCGCAGCGTAGACACGTGCTCGTTGAACTCATGTCGCCCGTCGTCCTGGCGGCCATCGCGTTATTCTGGACCGTGCTCGGCGTCGCGTTCTACCGGTACGCCGAATGTTGCGCGGCCACCGCGGCCGCGATGGCCGCTGCCGACAAACAACAGCAGCCGTCGTCCAAGTCCGTACATCCACCGTCGCCGTCCGCCAGAGCCACATCGACCGGAACAGTAAAACGTAAGCGCGCCAAAAATGTCTTACAAAAACCGTCGGGTTCACATTTTATACTGATATTTGACGAAAACTAAAACCTTGACCTTAACCAAAACCAGTAACCCCGGTCGTCTTTTGGCGTAGAAATGGCCCTTTACTCGCACGGCCACGCCGCAACAACAATGGGACGCGACGACGTGCCGGTTCCGGGCACCGGCGCTCGCCACGCCGATCTAGGTTATTGGGTAACTCAACGGGCGGGCAGCCTCCCGTTTCCGGTTTTGCAGTTGAATATCATTTTCACCGCTGCCGTTGCACGTTGTTGTTGTTATGATACTGATGTATTTGTTCGGAAACGATCAGTCGGGCATTATAAGAATTATGTTTTTTTTGTAAATATTATCTTTTCATTTCGAGAGTTTGGTCAAAATAAAAAAACCCTTAATTCAAAAAAACCTAGCCATCTTTTTCTTTTTAAGCTCATCAAACTTTTAGTATTGAATCATAACTGTATATTATGTTGTATTGAGTTTAAGCATATCCGACTTATCTAGGTCGGGATTTTTTTTTTGTTCAAGAAACCCGGGTTATTACCAATTGTGTTTATTGGATATTTAATTTTATATTCTGCGTGTGTTAGCTGTCGCTGTTGTTCACGGTTTGGTGTACGACCGAGAGTCCAAAATGTATTGTGACAAAAAGATCCCCGTTGGTCGTCATTTGAACAAGCCAAGAGCCGGGTGTAAAATAATAATTGGCGGGTTTTTCGTTTTGTACGAAGTACGCACGCCCCGCGTCGCATTATATTATTATACGGTTCTTAGAAATTGGTCGGGTTTAGTGTTCTATTTACCGACAGTAATGCTGCGACTCTTACTAATAATACTACAACATAATATCACGTGTTCGGTAGGTGTACGCCGGCTGTAAAATACATTTTTTTCATAATAATAAAATAATATATCATACTTAAACACACTATGGGCAGCAGCGCTATTGCCAATAGGCAGGCACCGGTTTAAAACTCGATCCTAGTTGTATACGACCAAACGAGTTTTGTAAACAAACCGACTACCCTCGAGAAATCGCCGGTGAAATCGTTTTCGAAATTGTCCGTCCGGTAACGGTGACAATAAATACCGCACCCTCGCTGTAGTCAAACAACGCTGTGTCTTGCCTTCTACTTGAAAATCACAACGAATCCTTTTTTATTTTTTTTTAGATTCAATACCGTCGTCCGAGTTGCAACAGTGTAATAAACATGATCCACTTTTGCGTTTTGTATAACATGTGAACGATGACGATTAAAAATAACACGAGGGGGGTGGTTGCGATCAACGGGGAGGAGAGGGAGAGGTTCAGCAATTCGGACCTACCTCGATGGGAAATGATTATTTTATCATTGTTAATTGACCATCCGTACAATTAGGAGTATATAATAATACGGTTTTGTTGGCTCCTGCCCTTGAATGCGTCCAACGATCGCGCCACTGGCTTTGTGTGTATGTATGTGTCTTAACTCTGACTCTTATGAGAGAATAGATACTATAGCCAGGTACTCCCAATTTTCGACACGGAGGAGGAAGCGCTAGCCTTGAACCCAGGACGACCGCTCGGGTGCAAATAAAGTATATTTTGTGGGGGGGGGCATAGGGGGAGACGTTGCCCATTGTGTGTCTGTGTAATCGTATACAGGTGGGCATAGGCACTTGAACTTGAATGACGATACGGCGTGGAAGTTTTTCGAGTAAGTTCTAGCATTAAAATAATATCATTCATACTATAAATATTTTTTCAGTCTACTGTATGTGTGTGTGTGTGTGTGCGCTAGCTAAGGCGGCACTGTGTTGACTGATTTATTTATGCGTTTTTCTTTCCATTTATTTGTTCGTTGAACACACGCAACTCAAGGAGAACCATCTCGTAAAACTAAAAAAAAAAACTATCTCCGGGTAAAGGTCGAAACGGCGAAACCTTGGTCTAGAGACCAAGCGACGCTAATGAAATGTTATATTCCTACTGTGAATTTATTATTATTATTGTAGTTACATATCGGCTGGAGGGAGCCTTGACAACGGGTGCTAGCTAACAGGAAGTGCAAATAAAGGGTAGTCGATATCACAATAATCGTGGTCGACACACAGATGGGAAACACAGCCAAACATATGACTGTTGTGGTTTTAAGGTGTTATGATCATATTAGGTGCTAGCGGTCTGAAAAGACAACGGCAGTCGGTGGTCTGCTTGGCGTGGGTGTCTAAAAATTTTTTTTACCGGCGGACGTGTCAAGGACACGGGAAGTGGCGTTTAAAATTTGGTTTCGATACCTGTTGGCGTTATAAGACGGCCAGAGGAAATGGGGTTTTCAAATATTCAAACGTCTTTGACCCTTTCGAGAAGAACCGTCTGACCTCCTCGGCCGCAGATGGTTTCAGGTCTCTATTTACCGCAGACGCCACGAATGTGATATATAATGTCATTTAAAAGACATTGGATGGGTAATTCGTTTTAAAAGCACAACGGAATAGATGCAAGCAGAAGGAGGGGGTTCACTTTCAATGTAAACAAAAAAAAGTAACGGCCATTTTGTGTGTTCACATCTCGTTTTTCTCGTCACAAGGGGAAGTAACATTTTTATTTTACCTTTAAAAAAAAAAAACTCGATTAAGTAACCACTTGACGTTCCAAACAACAACTCGAGTCGGTAGCGACAATTACAGCGTACAAACGCGCGCACCCTTCTAGCGTGTCTAGGCCGACCGGGCTCGTTTATTATTCACATACATTCAAAGTGTTTTTGCGATGAAGGGCCAGAGAAAATCGATACTACAACCGATTTATTATTCACGGCATTTTCGAGAACTACTGTCTCGATGAACTCTTAACCCCGTCGCGCGGATTCCAAAACTCCTCGTTTTCAGACACAACCTGTGACAACAATAGGTCATCGCCTCGTCGGACGTTCTTAATTTCCGTCGGGGTTAGTTAAGACAACAAAATTAGTAAGACACACATTTTGATTGAAACGCGCGTTTTCGAAACCGATAATTCAATTATATATATATATATGCATGATATACATTTGTAATTTCGTGGCTGTTAATTGGTGTTATCGAGGTGCGGTTTTGTTTGTGCGCTAACATATGTGAAGCGTGTTTGTTGCCCTTGACTCGGTTACGATTCGCGGTCAGCCTTATCGCCGTTTTTCAACTCATGATCGCCGGTATCCATTGTAAAGATGTGATGATGTATTTAGGCCACAGGGTGTGGTTTCGATTAATTTTTTTAATTAAATCGTCAATTGCCTAAAGGGGTTGTTCGAATAATTGTAGCAACGGTCAACGACTATGTCTCGATTAAACATAGATTTCCGCTTGGCGGACTTCCTAAGATCTCACCTTTCTTGTGGAACACAGTACGTTGATTATTATTTAGAAAAATTTGATAAAACTAAAATAAATTCAGTGGAAACGATTAATACAATTATCAATTGTTTAAAAAAAGCTCTTAATATGTAATTTGGTTTATTTAATGTATATCGAACTGGCTATGATTTCTTTTGTTTAAGTCAAGCAAAAGTGGTCAGTAAAAATTGTATAGCTTATTTATTTTTTTTTTTTTAAACTTAATTTATTGCCAACTGTGGTCTTAACCAATCCATCCTCCAAAATCTCCACTCTAATTCTGAAATAGTTGGCCATTAATTAGTATTGCCAGTGCTAACGATGTGGGCTTTGTTGACAGGATCGAAGACCAAACAGCCCAAGGACGACCACATGGACACCGACGATTCGGCCACTTCGAGTCCGCCCAACAAGGTGTCCAAGAGGACGGCGGTGTCCAAGTCGAAACCTTCGCCGCCGCCGTCGCCGGACAAGTGTCGGAGGACGGCGGTGCCGTCAAAGCCGCCGGTGTACGCCGGCAGCAGCGACGATGACGACGACGGCGGCAAAGGCGGCCGCCAGCCGTCGGCTTTCAACAGTGTTAAAGTGCAAGCGGCTCAGTCCAAGGGGCCCGTGACCAAGGGAATAGTAGTGATGACCGAAATCAAGTTGTCTCCGTCCAAGGGACACGCGATCGCCCGCACCGAAATCCAACTGTCCGCCCCTCTCAAACACGTGGACAACTCCACTGTCAAAGACAAAAAATCGGAAAACGGTTTGTAAAAGTTTATTTTTTTGTAGGTATTCATTTTAGAAAATTCTAAAATCAGCTTATGCTGGTCTAATGGTTGTTAGGCCTGGTATAATAAAAATGTTGGGTATTTTTCCAGCGTGCGCCGTAGTAATAGGCACGAATGAAACGAGTGGGAGGGGGAGTGCTCCCTTCCGACCTTGTCGAACTTAATTTTTCTTAAAATGTATAATTTTTATTGACTCGATTTGTTTTGAGTATGCGCATAAACAACCCGTATTTTCGGGTAACTACGTACGTTTGGTAGTTTTCCGTTAGGCAAACAGATCGGCCGCAGTAGTCTCGACAGTTAGTCATCCCCTCCCCTCCTCCACGTACACACACCTCTGCCGACCGGCCGCAGTAATCGTATAGTAGTGATAATAATATTACTTATAGTAAAAAAAAAAACACACACACACACATCATAACATAATAATTAATATGCACTCGAAGCAAAACCGTGTTTCGTTCCCGGTTTTATGTGTGCGACGGCCGTTATGTCCTATATTATTATTATAAGCCGTGCAAACAACAACATGACAACCGGCACCCGGTATATACTGTTAATTTTACAGTTATGGATCGTCTCCGCGTGCGAGGTGAATTTCTTCTTCTTGTGCGCCGCCGCCGTCGTCGCGTGTCCACGGGTTCGTAAAGTGCTGTCGATAGTATAGGAAATCGCCAGGCAAACAATATAAACGTCAAGTCAACATGTTATTATTAACGGTAGTTATTATCCCCGAATTCGTTTCACTCGAACGCGATGGATTTTTGTTCCGTGTTTTTTTATTTTTTTAATCTAAACACAAAGAGAGGAGCAATTGAATTTGCGAGTACCTTATGCGCGCTTCCGGCGGTGCTGTCCGAGCTTATATACCCTGCCAATAATGATGTTTACTCACTCGACTGACCGAACCGCAATCGCGCTTTTGTGGGAGGACGGTCCAATTATTTTGTTTTCGGTTATCCACCTGTGCGTGTGATTAGGACGTATTCACCAAGCCAAAACCGCAGAGTTGGCAAAACGGCGGGTAAACCCGTTTCCGGATATAATCTAGAAATTCAGGTAACGCCATCGGGGAGAACTGGTCGGCTATCCGTCGCCGCGTTAACCTTGCATTTTGTCGACCAGATTGATGAGTTTTCGTCAACGGGAGGGGGCAAATTAAACAACAAATACAACTACATTTCCTATCGGCGGCAAATGGGCAAATAAGCCCAACGACCTTTGAATTGTGTTGTAAATCGGGTTCCAAAAAGAGGAATATAAAAAGGTATGATGTGTAACAGAGTAGGAAAACATTAGATTTGTGTTTAAGTGTACGTACCCCCCCTAACCCAATATTATGCATAGAAAATCGAGAAACTACAGTTAAATTATAAACATGTTACGTGTAACCAAAATTGTTAAATCGGTTGCCGTGTTGCTGTTTTAAAATAAATATGTTAAAAATCAACTCCCCTCCTAGCACCATTAAAAAAATAACAGCGGTTGTATAAATTCTGAAACTGAAATCCATTAAATCATGATGATCACAAAGAGATTAAATAAAAAATTGGCAATTCGATGAACAAATGATAAATTAAAATGTATTCCAATATGAATTTCATAAAAACAATTTTTTTTTTAATTTTCAAGTCGAACAATATTATCTTTCATAAATTGTTTGTTTTACCTTAGATCGCTTTTATATGTGTCTATTAACTGACTCTAAAGTATTTTAAATAGGTAAATAAAAGCTGTCTAATATATTATTTGTGACAAACGACTAATAAATAGTAAAGTAAAGAACAATTTTTTTATTTATCGCGCTTATTTCGATAAAACAATTAATATCCCAATAATGAGTGATTAATTATTAATGACCCACTAATGGTTATCATATTTTTATTGTTATCACAATCAGATGTAACCGTACACTTGTCATGCTCGAGCCACGTGGTGTAAAATATGGTAGTTGGATGTCTTATCCGTTCAGTGTACGTCGAATCTCTTTTGCCTCATTGTAATAGTTCGCTTACTAGTGTGTCAAGTACACATTGGAAATGGATAATAATCAAAAAAAAAAAGTTCTTTTTTGCTATCTGGATCGTGGTGTCGGCGATGGGGTTGCGTTTTTATAACAATATATATTATTATAATATAATATAATAATTCTTTCGACAGCGTCGTCGTCGTCTTGGGTTAGAAGGCGAGCGCGGGGTATTGTTGTGTGCATGTATTATTATTATACAGAAACGACCTTAGTCTATGATGTGTATGTTTTTTGCTCGCTTTACAAAAGTAATTATTATTGCGCCAAGCCCCCGAACCTATTGAACGCGTTTTTCAATATTGGCGGTGAGAAAAAAAAAAAAAAATAACTATTATAAAATTCAAGGTCGGCCGTGTGTGTACTCGCTCGCCGCCTAAACCATCATCTAGAACAATGACGTTAAGGAAAAAAAAACTACATATATTTTCTACGAGTACACACAAAACGTCTCTCTGAGGTCGATGCGGAAAAATTGAAAATTTTTTATTTTTCAATTAAACTAAGCAACTCCACAGCCCGTTTATTGCGATTATTATTGTTGTTTTCTTTTCGCTCTCGCGCTACCAGTAGAGCTTCGGTGTCGGATGAATCGAGGGGAAAAAAGATAGAGATGGGAAGAAGGAAACAACGGTCGGTCGACCGAATCGTTTTCTATACGGGTAAGTCACACGGGTATCGGATAAGAAGTAAAACCGATGTGTCGCCGATGCAAAAGTAACAAAGAAGCACACAAGTCAGTTGAAATAACAAACGCACGGATAATAATATTTTATATTATACTATTATTATATACTGACGCCACATATTATACAGAAAACGACCGAAGAAAGTTTACCGTCTGGTCTGTAAACACACACACACACACGGTCGACTGTGTAGTGTATAATAGAGATCAGTGAAAGTAGTAGCATAATGTGTGTGCAGTAGTGAACGCACAATTTTTTTTCTTCTTCTTGCCTACATTTAAATGTATTATAATACAGTCGTCGTTGTTGTTGTTGTAAATCCTCTCATCGAGTATAAGATATATTTTTGGCCGCTCTTAATTTTAATTCTTCTCCGCCTCCTCTTCTTCTTATTCTGGCCAGTTGTTGGCTGTTTTTTTTTTTTAGCTTCGATGCCACGCTTGGGGTTTTTTTTTTGTCGCCCTCGCCGCTTTATTGAGATAAATTTGGTATTTATTTTTTTGTTTTTTATTGTACACGTGTCGCGGATAACATGTGCTCTACCAGCCCGAAGGCTGTCTGACGACCGTGTGTGGGCTACGGCTGGGAGTTGAAAAACGTTATGTGAGCTGGTGTAATAACCTGGCTTTTTTTTTGAAGGGGTTACTAGTATGAATGTAAAACTTATAAAACCCATATTTTTGGAAAAATGCCAAACAATTTCTGGACTAACGGAAAAAGCCTGCTAAACGTTATTGGGGTTGGATGGTGTTGTTTTTTCTATTGCTCGGAACGTTTGTACCGGTTTTCATTGTTTTTTTTGTTGTTTTTTTTTTACAGATAAGAAATGTAAGAGAATCGAATACGAATCCAGCAAGAAGCCAAACAAGGAGAACGTGGAACCGCGAATTGACGACAAGGACGACGACGAGTGTTGTGCGTCGATGGCGATCGGTTCGAAGAAAAGAAGCAAAAGGACTAGAAAACGCAAGACCAAGTACAAGCAATTACAGGAGTCCGCCGAAGCGATGGAAGGCAGCAACGGCGGCTGTAAAGGAGTAGGAGGCGGTTCTTCGTCGTCCATCGTGATCAAAGCGACGTCGCATACGGGAACGGCGATAACCATCGAGACGACCACGACGACGACGACGACGTCCGGCGGCAGTGGCGGCGGCGACGGCGGCGGTTGTCCGTCGCCATCGGTCAAGCTGATGGCCGCCGTTTCCAAGTCGCTCACCGCCGCCGACAAGTTCTGCAGCGAACGTGTAAACCTGAACGGGCTGTCCGACTTGGACTTGTGGTTCATGTTGAACAAGTACATGCTCCGGTTGAGCGATCTGTACGCGTACGGTTTCCCGGTCAACTCGACGATGGCCGGTTATGCGGTGTACTATCGGCCGAACATGACGCGGCTCAAGAAGCTCAACCCGGTGGCCAAAGAGTTTAGCTTTGACGCGCGGCCTGTTCAACAACAGCAAAAATGTCAAAGGAAGCGTCGGACGTCCGAGAACGGCGTCGCGATGATGACGGAACAACAACAGCAGAAGCAGCAAAAAAAGGAGGAGGAACAGTTCTCGTTCAACGATCTCGTTTCGTGCGTCAGGTGCTCGTCGTTTTTCTCGGTCACTAACGAACGACGGTACGCGCACGCCAGCCGGTGTCTTTACCACTACGGCAAACTGAAAATGGGCGGCCACACGTACGGCTGCTGCAATGGCAGTCCTACTTCGCAGGGCTGCACGGAAGCGCCGTGCCACGTGTGGAACGGGTTCGCCGAGGGCCACAACGGACCGGCGCCCGGGTTCGTGCACACGTACGACGACCGCTCCGGTATCCGCGTGGTGTACGGCATGGACTGCGAGATGTGCTACACGCAGTCCGGACTGGAGGTGACCAAAGTCACGCTGGTGGACATTTACGGGTTCGTCGTGTACGACACGCTTGTCAAGCCGGCCCGGCCGATCGTCGACTACAACAGCCGTTACAGCGGCATCACGGCCAACGACTTCGCGACGAAGCCTTCGAAAAGCCTGGAGCAAGTGCAGCGAGATCTGCTGCGATACATCAAGCGAGACACCATTCTGGTTGGCCACGGGCTGGGCAGCGACCTACTCGTACTCAGGATGGTCCATTGCCGGGTGGTAGACACGTCCGTGCTGTTCCCGCATCCGCGCGGCGAGCCGTACAAGATGTCGCTCAAGTCGCTGGCGGCCAGGTTGCTTAAGCGGGAGATCCAACAGGCGTACGGGCACGACAGCAAGGAAGACGCTCGAGCCGCAATGGACCTGGCGCTGTACAAATTGCGCCGGGACCTGGAGGCGGCCACCACGACGACGTCCAGTTGCAGTCCGACCGCCGGCGATCACCACCGGCACGGCCATCACCATCATCATCATCACCACCACCACCACCGAGACACCGCCAACGCCGGCGTATGGAATGAAACAGCAATAACAGTGAACGCCGCCACGGCGTAGAAATATACTCCTGATCCTCCTCCACCACCTCATCCCTCCCCCACCCCTCGACCCTCTTGTTGTTGTTCCTATTTATATATATTTACACGTATATATATATATAATACACACGTTTTTTCCTATTTTAAAAATGAGAAAAGATAAGAAAGAAAAAAAAAATCATTTTATACGACTTATTTTTCACTCACTTGACATTGTGATAAAACTGATCGGTTTCACTCACTTTATATTGTATATATATATTGTACTAAATACTTTGTGCGTGTGCGTGGACGAACCGATCTGATGACTGAATTATTTGTCAACCCCCTCAAGTTTTTTGTACTCGAAAAATGCATTGTACAAAATTAACGATAATAATAATAACAATATTATTATCATCATAATGAGAAATGAGTTTTTTTGTATATACCTATATGGACACGAACATCCTGAAACAATACTATTATTTCTCCATCTTGATATGTGATTACAATTATATCATGAGGACACATTACACCTCCTCGGCATTGACTGTGTCGTCTAGCCAAGGCAATGTGATGGTAAATAAATAACACAAACGTTGTTATTATAATCTACAATATTGGTCGTTATGAAAGTTGCACCTTGAGGAATATAATAAATAAATGTGACGGTTTTCCGTGTCGTCGAAACGGCGCGCGTGTTGGGGTATTAAAAATAAAAAAGTCTTACTATAATAAACACACGAGGTCCCTGGCATCGGTCCCGGAGAGGAGAGCACATTTGGCATTGGGTTGCGTTCCCAGAGAGAAATTTCTATTATTCGACAATCGTTTTACAAGTATACACTGTGTGAAGTGTGAACGTTTCAAACGATAATAATCGACGACATGCGATGTTGGGCTTTAAGGTTGGATGTAAGTAGACCAAGTCCGATTTCGGTTTGATAGTTTTTTTTCTATACGTTGAACACATTAAATATTATATTATATTACATTTTTATGTTTAATTAACAGCGCGTATTGCGCTATAAACGGAAATAGCACAACTTTCGGAAAAAACACGTTTATAAATAACATGATAAATAAAAAAACGGGAAGTATATAACTGTTTAAACTGGAAAATATTCAATCGGGCCATCGAACTGGTGGTCGAACCCCAACCAAGATAATTCAACATGGCGCCGGCCAGTAATGGTTTGTAGAACTTCCTGAATATGTTTGGCTATTTATTGCGCAACGGACAAACCCTTAAAAGAACACAATACGTTAAATATATTATGCGGGTATAGGACTCTAAGACTTGGGTCTGGCCAGATATTACTTTACGGCTCAAGTAAACACCGAGCAGCCGAGTAGGAATTTTGCAAACCTATCTATAAGTAGTCCTATATAAATATCACAGGAGAACGCCCATCCTGCCCAAATTTATTTCTTCGCCGTAAGTCACAGTTACATTTATGATGTTATTTTATTTGTCTAGCACTATGATTCATGCGTAATCGGCTGTCCATCTGATCACAGTCGGCCTCTGCACTTTATGAAATTAGTTTGTACTCTGTCCAATAGCAAATAATATCATCATAGTATTAACTAATTGGTCTCACTTTGATACCGAACGAGTACGACGAATGCAAATGAATTTAAAATTAAAACGAGTAACGTAAAACGATTCCACAAGGTCGTCGGATTGCTGTATATGTGTGTGTATATATATATATAGGTAAGCGAACGCAATAAAATTTATATAAGTACTTAATATAATATACACTAATTATTGTATTATTTCATAACTTCTTATCTGGCCGGTCGTGTGTGAATCGCTGTGGTAAAGGTCATCGGTGTTACGGAAAGCCTTGTTTTCCATCCATATCAGTTGTGTGTGTGTGTGTGCGCGCATGTGAGCAATTTAATTAAATTTGCACTTGTTCAATGTGTAAAAATGTTCTTAATAAACCAAAAATGATCTAGGCTTGCAGTTTATCGTCCTCGCGGTACACTCTGTCCGGAGATAAAAAAAATATCCATGAATTGGCGTACATTAACTTAAAGTTTAAATCTGAGTGACCGATGTTAAAACAAGGAAAAATCTCGATCACGGGTTACAAAAAATATAATATAACATGGAAATTTCTATTAATATCCATTTTTTACCGCTTAACGCGTCTTTTATGTTAAAAGTATAAAAAAAAAAAAACAAGTATATTATTTCTTCGACGATTCCAAACTCTAGTTATTCCCATAATCGTATATTTTGTGTTGTGCAAAGACTAAAGTTGTTAACGTTAGGGGCCATACGAGAGATTATACTCTCCATTAGCAGTGATGGGACAACGAGCTAAGTTAATATCCTCCCCCCCCCCCCCCGTAGGCGTTTAGAAATTAGCATCAGAGTACATGTGAACGCTATAAAAGCCGACCTCTGCGAGTAATAATAACAACGTTGTTCTATCGCCTTGGTCGCCGGCACAGTTGAATTATTGCCATACAGCCTTTAAAACGTTCACCGGGAAACGACCGCGGATGATGTTCGAACATTTTCTATATTTGCCCTTCTACACGCACCAGGCACGTACACAATAGAGTGTGACGACGATGATATAATATAAAGCCAAAAATGTTCGTCCGAAATAATATCACGATAATTAACAATAATATCACACATTGCGGAATAATGATCATCGACAATAGCTGGGTAACCGTTGTACCTACTCTCAGCTCACTGACATTGAACCCGTTGAAAATCAAATTTAAGTCGTAAACGTGGTGATCGATTACCACCTACCCATCGTAGTAGAATTTACCGTGAAAACTATTGGATAACTAAAACTGTCGATTTTATTATACTTAAGCTGGCCCGTTAACGGCTGTAGAGAAAGCCAAACGAATTGTTTTGTCGTTTGAGCTGTACAACAGCAACAACGCTAGGTAAATACCACCACTGTTGTTTGCTCGTCGCTGTAGCAACTGCATGTAAGATTATAAAGTTACACTTTTGTTTGGGTGGCGGCACACATTTGAAATTTTCATTGGAAAATTATTTTCAACAATTTTCTACATAATATGCGTTAGAAACCACCGACGTGCCTACCGCTATCATATTTGATCGTTTTGAAATTGATAATGTTAATATTAGCGTACCTCCCGCTAAGTAAGACTATTACACGCGACGTGTTGTACCGCACAGTAATAGTAATGGCCAGATGATGGTCTGTATTAAAGCAGAATATCAAATTAAACGAAATTGCTAAAACGTTACATCGACGACGCCGCCGCCGCCGCCGTGTAACGGATAGCCGAATCAACAGTTAGAAATGCTTTGTACAGGCCACACTAGTACTACTTAGCAATACCAGTTGGCAATTTGAGGTGAATATAAAAACTTGTATTAATATTGTATAACCGTTGTAGTTTAGCCGATTTAGTATATTTACAATTCATATTTTTTTTTTCAAACACAATGAAATGATCTAATCCGAATACAGTAAACTTTGTGTACAGCAAAACCGAGCAATTATGTATAAACAATTTTTTTTTTTAAATTATCGCTTTGAAATATTTCAATAACGACGGTGGAAAAAAAAATAGGTCTTGTTCGTGTTTTAAACTTAAAGAGAACATAAATTTAATCGATTTGGAACAACATGTTTGGCCAACAACCATTGTAGATCGTATAGGGCGTAGATTTTTTTTTTTTTTAAATACAGTAACACCTAATGGGTGTAGTCAATTATTTTTAAAATGACCTTAAGTGACGCCATTGAACTTTGAGATACGTTACACTTGTTATTATATTGTTTTTGTCGAATCGGTCTGTACGCACTTTGCGATTATTCCAATTAACGTTGTAGTACTACATAATATTGTATAATAACTAATTAATTATTGTTTGTTGAATAATATTGTTGTGTTGTTATATTATTTTAATAAAAACAATACGTCACATTTGATGACCGATTCACCGATCGTATGATATTGTATTCGGGTGAAATTTTTTCAGAAAGACAAAACCAACTTGACGCCAATGCTACTTATATGATTTGTACTTTTTTCCTACGGAAACACAAGTAAAAAAAAAAACCCGTCGTTAACCCTTTTTAGTAATACATTAGGTGTTAATGAACTTGAATTTTTTATTGTTCTCTCTTTCGGTGTACAATAATATAATTTAACTTGTAAGCGTGCAAGAAAAATTGTGTCAACACCCAAAACTAATAACAAAAAAAAAAATTTTAATGAGTCATCGACTATTTGTTTTATTTTTGATGTCATCGACAGTTAATCATCGTGTTCCTATTTACGGACCATCGCCAATTTGTTGTCGGATTACAACGCAAGAGTTGAGTGAGAGGTATTTGAAAAAAATTATAGGGGGGTGATTTTTTTTCTGGAAATTTTACTGTAAAATTCAACGGTTTTTTTTTTTTTAATACAAGCACGGAGAACAATGAGGGTCGCACTGAGGTATAATTATTATTCTATTAGTTATTATTGTTCAAAGCGAGCGTCGACTTTTAATTACGATAATTAGTGATAGGCGAACAGAAAATATTCTCACGAAGCAAATTACACAGGAGGATTATGTCTTTTTTTGTTATTTTCATGGTTAATTTTAAATACACTATTATTCTACATAATTAATATTAATACATTATTTTACTGTTTGCGTCAATAGCACTAGTCATATAATACAACTTTTGCACTTATTGTACATCTAAAATTATCAATTTAACTTAAAAGATAATCGCACAAGTTTATCAGTGTTTATATTTTTAATTTTATTGAGGGTCCAAGTTTCCAAACGGTTGACGAACAAACGTTTTTAGTATCTGTTTTATGTCCATGACAATGATGGTCTCGGTTAAACTTTCAAACTGCGCACAATATTTTAATTTTAAATACAATCGTCCGACAACAAACAACATGTATGATTTTTTTTTTGGTTACTTTCCAGAGTACACCCGCGGTCATCTACCATCTGCCAAGTTCACCAACGTCAATTCCTGGAGAGTGTGTGTGTAAAATATAAAACAAATAATTGTAAAATATTGACTTAAGTTTATTTGCAGTACGGAAAGATAATAATAATAATAATATATTATCGTACACCTTCAAGACTGGCGTGTGGGCATTGCCAACTAATTAACGATAATTAATTGCGTTGTTAACGATTAGCTATTGAATAATTATTTCGACGTGTAGGTACAATTATTATTGGTCGTTGCGAGCAAAACTGTGTTCGAGACACGTTGTTGATGATATTATAGGCGGACCGTAGAATACAATATTGTGGGTTGATCTTTATATTGTATTATATATTTTTATACTGATAGAACAACTAAATAGATACGTGGTAAGCTTTTAATCGGTGTATGTGTGTGTGCCCAGTTTATTCTGCGTATAGAGCCTTAAGAGCACATCCATACGATTGCCAGACAGTCTAAAATCCAGGTGTGAGGTAATTGTTTTTTTTTCTTCATAGACACGGCGACCGGGTTTGGATGAGTAAGTATAGTAACCTACATATTGTCGCAAATAGTAAATATGTATGGTATATCGATAATTACACGGCAAAAGGATCTAAGCGATATGGCATGTACTATCTATTGAATGGAGAAAAGCGTGTTACATCCAATGTACATGTGCAAAAACAGTTGCGACCATTATTTAACGAACAATTTTAATTTTAAGTTTGCGGTAAAAACAACACTTTATATTACGTCTGCTAACAAAATGGGGTCTAAACGACAATATTAGGATTTATTGGCTTATAATATTATATTATTATTATGTATAACATTAGAATTTATTCAGGTCATTGCTATTTAAAAAATATTGGATAAAATCACCAAAAAATGTTTGCTCCTGAAAACTATGGAAAATGTCGCTTAGACCCTTTTGCCGTGTAACCTTCGACATATTATAACTAATATTAAATTATAATAATGTCTCGGTTGCCTATTGAGATGATAGTCTAGTTTTCGTATTGTACAAGATTTGTAAAGATTGCTCAGAAAAACATATTATATATTTCATACGGATGGATCAATGTAACATCTGACAACTAAAATATTATTGGTTTTTGATTATATAGCAATTAAACGGTTTATGAGTACAACAAAACTGTGATTCGATTTCCCCTTTGGGTTGTTCTTTTGCTGACTTTTTCGTTGTTTGTCTGCCAAACGGACGACTGTCAAACAAGCACAACCAATAACCTACTGCTGGTCGTGAAAAGTATTTAAGTGGATATAATAATAATATTATGTTTATTAGGTGACCGCGAGTATTTACTATTTAGATTAAAAATAAATATACATTTTAAAAAAGCAGCTGTCGAGCCAGCTGAAACAACACGAGATCTCTACAATTTGGTCAAACCTAAATCTATTTGCTGATCTGATTTTGCAAGACCGGTCAGCCTGTCTAAATGTGATCAAGGCTCAAAACACATTTACACGTTTGACTTGATAAACACATGATAAAACAATAAAAACCTAGAAAGCAATAGGTAATACGTATATTAGATGTACAGGTACAACTGCTATCTAGATGGCATAGAAACGTGACGAGTTTATTTTTATTGCCACTGAAAAACGTGGCAACATTAAAAAAATATTTAAAAAATATTTGTTTTTTTAATTTTTTTATTTAATAAAACTGTTAGATTAATCAACGGCGGCGGCGATATATAAATTGACAACGCGGTATGTCATTTAGGGAATCGAGAAAAGTAATTTTTTTATTTCACAAAAAAAAAATGTGACAATATTCTTGGCAAATAGAGCGTGGAAAACTATGGTTTTTCCAACCGAGTCTGAGGTAGTGCAATAATAATATTATAAATTATAATATTAAGTACACGTATTATGTATTTTATACGCAGTTGATTTTAATTGTTCGCTGGTAATTAACAAGTCAGAACGTTCGCGTTTCCATTGAATTCGAATAAGTATATGAAATAATGAATTATAAATTATAATAATAAAATGCAAAAGGAAAAGAATACATTACAATATCAACATATTAGTTTACCTATAAATATATATATAATTGAAAAATACTTACAAGCCAATTGGCGCGTCCCCATTGCTACCGCTGAGCAGCTGTGAAAATATTTATGACATGTTCATTAAAACTCTAAACATAGCGGATAACATGGGACACTCGTAATTGGTTATTTTGATTTTAATTTTATTATTATTGTTAATATGCGTGGTTATCACTATCAGATTTATAATTAAACAGAATTGTCTTTCTATATAAGATAGGGTAGGAATATTTTCTTTATTATTTTATATCAGTAATCATAGATTAACTGGTCCTCGCTTAGAGAACTCGTGTGGAGGCCCATATATGTATTTATGTATACACATCCTATGTCAATCGCAGGTGAATGACCTATTCTGGTTCACGATGACTGATTTGGTTCCCATTTGATACTTAAATGTTTTCTTTCTATCTAAGTCAATGGCGAAGACCATGGAATTTTCGGCCATGTACAAAGTGTGGATCTATAGAGAATTTAAGATTACCGGATTGGGATAAATGTGGCGACTGGCGTAAAAATATATTATCGAGTTGTAAAGTCTGCTAGTCGAAGATACTAATTAATTGAAATTAATTGATTGGCTGTGATACGGTCAATTAGAGAAAGAAAAATGATATTTCCCACCAATTCCGTTAATGTAGATTAACCAATTATAAATGTAAACTGTAATCTTGCATTAAAACTAGTCAAACGACGTTAACATAATAAAAAAATGTTTTTATTTGCTAGAGCAAATAATAAAAGTCATCATGATATACTTTCCAAAAGTAAGCATATTTTTTTTTAACATTTCAACTTTAAATGTATAATAATTATACTCTATAGCTTTACGCTCCGTCAGTGATATTTAATATGTGAATTACTTTCAAAGATTATTATAACGCTCTAGAAAAACAAGATTATGATTATAATTTTTTACTTTCGATACTGGTTAGTAATTACATGCACATGCACCTTATTGGAACAACAAAATCAGTTTCTTAGACGCATTTGAAAGATGAAAAAAAACAAGTTACTAAAAAAAAAAAATACACACGTCCAATATTATTAACTTTTACCATGACATTTGGTTTCGAAGACAGATTAGATACTCTGTACGCCAAAACCTAAGTCCTGAACCTTATTAGGATATTAACTAGGTTACAAATATGTATAATCATTCAAGTATACATTGTGCGTTGACTACTCATTCTTTTAAAACAAATTGGACGAGCACCGATAAGAGCTAACCGATAACTGGACAATTAAAAAGTTGAATGTGTTCTAATATAATTAGTGCCCAGTATTGGTCGTGCTGTAAATGTAAGTAACATATCCATAATTTTCGATCGCTTTAATTTTCACATAATACTTATTCAAATGGTTTTCATTTGCAATGATTATAATTTTTGTCGAGTCAGTCTAAAAAAATGAAACGTGTAAAATAATAAATATGTTCCGTTTTCTTTGGTAACTAACTTTCTTTTTTATTTTAGAGAAATATATTTATGCTAAAGTAAAAAAAAAATGTACCATTAAAACTGATCGTATTGTGAAAAAATGTTTAATTGAATTTAGTTTTTAATGACTTTTCAAAATAATTTGTTTCATTACTTGTTAATTGCAATTAATTTAATATTTTATGCACTTTTTATCCACGATTGCGTTTGTTAGATTGCTTAAACGACTCCATAAAAGTTGTAATTAAGTTTGCTAGTTACTGTATACCGGTTGAGTTATTATTAGATTGACTACTTATAAACCGGTCAAAAAGTTCTTGGTACTAGAAGTTTTTATTTATAAAATATTTCACTTTATAATACAAAGATATATTTGCAGCTAAACTACTATACTGACTTTTTATGTAAATTATGTATAAGAAATTCAAACAAGGTAGGGTGACAATTATACTTACACTGACCACAGTTACGATAATACTATCGTGTCTGTTATTATTAACCTGAACCATAATTAACCAGAGTAGAGTAATTTGATGTCAACTGTTTAAATTACCAATTAAACCATGCAAGTTTTTAATATACATAATATGCAATACCGAACGAGCAGAATACAGTGAAATCGTATATTTTAATGTCAACGGCCCTTTTTTAACGTGTGCACAGAATGTAAACTAAATCTAGTTTTCATGTACTTATTTCCATCAACGTGACACTTGAATTTAAGTTAGCAAGAAGTTGTCGGATTAGTTGTTATTTTTAGCAGCAGCAACAAGCCGTAAGTTTTCATCAATACATTATGTTTTGTTTAAAATATGATTCTATACTTGACGCTACGCGGTATTGGTATATGTACAGGTTTTTAATTTTGCTCTCGTCAACTTTCTAAGATTAGACATTATAGTAGAAACATGCGCGTACAAATTAAGGCTTTCTACGGTTCTGCATATTATATCGGTCACAGAAAGTAATATAGGTAAGTATATTAATTAAAAATGAGTAGGTATATTGTATAAATTAACAACTTAAAAACAAAATCATCTAGCCCGGCTTATGAATAAAAAAAAGTTGACGCGAAAACTGTCTTATTAGTAGTGTTAATCGTATACTTTTACTTAAATGCGAATGTTAATAAACCCACACTGCTATCGAACGTTTAGACTTAAGTAGGTACACTTTGAAAAAAAAAAAAAATTGAAAAATGAAACTGCGCTCGTGTGTCATTCGAAGAGCGCGCGTTAAATTAATATTAAAAATAGCTACTAAAAGTTTTAACATTTCACCGACGAAAACGGTTCAAACTCGTTCTATTACTCGAAAATTGAAGTTTAATCGATTCATAAAAATTCCCAGTAAGTAATTTCCAGTAATACACGCCGTGTAGAAGGTAGTTACCGTCGAAGGTAGTTACCGGATAGATATCACCTCCATAACAATTGTGCAAAATATGTGCATCGGTTGCCGTTAAAAATGACTTTTCGCTAAAATACAAAACCCATAACAAAAAATTAATTGCCGGAATTGCCAACGTCGATGGCGCAGTATAATAATTCATACGATTGAAACTTTTTTTTTTCTTCCTTTAAACTCTCATCATGATTACACGATTCGAGATTGGGGGTTAGCGAAAACGACTTATCACTGTCAAATACCCTAAACCGGCGACCGCCTTTTTTTTTTAATCCTTAACTATACTTTTTTTGTACGCGGTTAGCAAATTACCGTCGGATCGTATCGAGACGTGTCAACCACCAGCCGTCGTATTAAATCGAGAAAATCGGTTTTTAGCCCATTTGCGACTTAATATAGTTACCGTTCGATTGCAAAAACAAAAAAATATATCCAACTACCGCACACGTTATGTCAACACACGACGACTTTTGTGCATATAACGAGGCAACATGCGGCATCGCTAGACGTCGAAGAGTGCACGCGAAGAAGAATGACACTTAGTCTAAAATGACACATAGTTTAAAACGGAATTTTCGTGTGGAGTTTGCCCGGCCTGTGGAAACAGTTGGCCGCGCTGTAAACGTTTGCCAGTAAGTGATGTTGTTGCGAACGGCCGTTTCCTTGGCTCTTGTAAACGCTATTTGGTGTACACGAGGCAGTGTGTAACGTGATTTATTGTTAGGAGATGGTGGTAATTTTGGTATTTTTTTTTTTTATTCCATAAAACTCGCCTACGAGTCAAATGAGTTTTAATTGATCGAAAACACACACACGCACGCACACTATACAAATACTTGGACGGGAAATTGAACCCTAGCGATAGCCCAATTATTGGAGCCGTGCGGCAGGATTACGGCGATGGGTACATCCCAACTGTTTCTCATAATATTAATTTCCCTGTACGGTTTGAGCTGTTTATCGGACATTTAAAGTTTAAAATTCAATGAAGCGCGCGTACAATTAACTGCACAACAGAAGGTCCTGGCACGTGGCGCGCGTCTCGTTACACAAATATTAGTTCTACCGCGTGTTGTATAGGGAGAAACATACATAGTTGTGTGCTGCAGCACCTGGTTGGAAATTGCCAATTGGGATTATGATAGTTTTGTTGGTACCAACGTGGTGGACGCATAACAGCCAACTGTTTGTACCAAGTGTTTTTAATTCATTTACATTTCGATTAGGTACGGAGGACGTCCGGTCTAAAGCAAACAAAGCATAACTACCAAAAAAATATCACACAACAAAGTGGGTGCCGTCAAATTCCAAATGTATCTCTAGCCGTCTACAGATACCAAATGTAATATTTTCTATAATACTACATATAATTATATTATAGTATGTTCGCAACACGTGTCTGGTGTACTAAACTGAACGTGAGGATTGGTATCTGCAACGCTCATATAAAGCGAACGAAATACATGCAAGTGAAAACATACACAAAAGTATGATACCGTTAAAACACGTGCCTTGGACATAGCAAACTACCCGTAGGCGACCTCTCGTAGGCGATGAATTTGTATTAGATCAATAAAAAAACAGAATCTAAGCTGTTTCGAAATACGCGTTGAAATGATGCGCTTCTTGACAATTACAATGACAGAGCGTGAGTGGCAAAAACAAACTTCATTGTTTGCACTCTGTTGACAGTTTAAAGGCCGCTTATTGCCGGCAAAACTGTATTATGTATGTGATTCATGGTATTTGCCTACGGTTTTTGGAAAGTATGTATTTTTAAATCTATGCAACAGCTGAAACTGTTTTTATTCATTATTTAAAAAAAAAATACAATACACCCAAGACTTGCTTGCTAACCCCTTGAGTGAATTTGCCGTTTGTTAACGAGCCAAGTATGAATGAATCGTGCAGTGTTTCAAGTTATGTAAGCAAAGTACTGCTATTCGTTGGAACATTGAATAAAACATACAACTTGTTCCAAGGCTATAATTAAACGTAATATTTTTTTTGTTGTGTTTGTATACAGTTTTCCTCATTATATTTAAATCGACGAATATACTATAGTTTCATACATTTTCAGGCCCGTGTATAATAGTATTAGCCCATTGTTTTAGAACATAATATACCTACTATCTACCTACTGGCGGTAGATTGGCCAAAACGATTAGGAGATAATAACAATGTGTGAGAACTATAAATTATAGTAGCTGCCTAACGTCAAAAATGAAATGTTGTGAATATAATTGAAATAATTTAGTTTTTTTTCCACTTGTGTGAGGTAATAGTAACGAAAAAGTAGATGATTTTGCAAAGGTTAATAAACACCAAGTATAAAACTATAAAACTTTCATACATTATTTAATAAATTACACTCGATCCCAAAGACTATGACACGTTTGTGACAATTACGGCCCTAGCAAAAAGGCTATCGCAAAAATGATAATACACAGGACAATACGGCACTTTTAATAGGAAGTAGGAACAGAAATAGCAATTTACCTACCTATTACCTTGCCGAGGATTTGTTCATGGCGTTCAAAACTTTTGTAGATCTGAATTGAATTCGATCGACATAAAACGTTTGCGTTTCACGTGCCAGAGTTATTATGTATAAAAAACAGCGTAGATTGTTATTTGTGCTCGTTGATTTGGAATTGGCTGCGCGTGATTTATGTTCATTTCTTACACTTTTCCCGTGTAAATATCTTATACTTACAACATTCTATTTTGGTACCAGATCATTACGTTTTAAAAACATAAGTCTCGTCGTCAGTGTTTGATTGTGCAAGTATACTGTGTGTAAGAAAAATACGGAAAAGCATATTATTTATTATCACCCACGCGAGTCTTAAAGATTTTCCCAAAATAATATCTTTTAAAATGCATGACCCAAATTCACAAGATAAATTTATCCTATGGACAGTACAAAAACAAGATTTTTTAAATTAATCCATTAAAACAGTAACCAGCCTCGGTCCAAGGTGTACAGAAGACTGAAGAGGTACCTATTGTGTAAAGCGTGCGAAAGCGGTCGTTGGGGTCGGATGCACGGCCGGCACTCATCTATTAATTTCCAAAGGGCACAAAATATAATATTCGACATTGTTTTGTTGGATAAAACAAAAACACTGATTTAATAGTCGAGCCATATTTTATTGTTGTAAGCTACACAGCGCAATTCGCGTTTTTAAAATTAATATTTCGGTTACAATAAATCGGTCCAACTATGTTACAAGCACATTATCGTTTTCTAAAGGGGTCTCCTCTACCTTGCCTACTCTGACGGGAGCATATCGCCAACTTCTGGATTGGCTTTAGTTTACATAATGGGCAAGGTCTTACCCGCGTTTATTGATATTTTATCGGAAAAATTAGCTTTTCCGTTGGACAGTTGAGCCGATAGACTTTTTTTTTTTACCGTCAGCTGCAGGATTGGTCGGAACTAAAGTACCTAATATAATACGTCTCCGGGGATTCGTTTGGTCGCAAAACTTCCACCGTAGACACGCGTGCAATTGATTAAATCCATTACAAGGGTATTGTGCATATGGCCACGTGAAACGCCCGTTGACCAACAAATTGGTAACTTGACCCCCGATACCGTGTTTTACAAGGTCCGGATCCGAAAACGGCTATTTCGCTATTTGTCATCGCCAATTGCTCGACCACAATGTTAACCTAGGTAGGTGACAAACTAACCTACACGCATTTCGATAAGCTATATTAGGTAAATATAGCTTATTTAGCGCCAACAATGGTCAACAGACATATGTAATACAATAGATTTGTACCAATACCATAATAAACATTTTTAAGTTATAATAATAATGTTATGTGTATGATAAAAATCGAGTCTAAAATCGTATTTAGGTACGTGAAATAAAGATGAAGAAAGAAAAGAAAGTAAGCTGCTGAAAACACTTAAGGGAAACAACAGGTTAGAGATTCGTTTGATGTTAATAAAATAAGATGAAAAAACAGGTAGGGAAAGTAATAATTATTATTTATAATTAATATGTTAATTTATTTATAAATTAAATATACATATTTGTTTTAAGGAAATATTCGAGCTGTACACTATTATACGAAAAAATATCGTTTAATGAATATAAAAAAAATAAAAGTAAATGGAAATCTACAGGAACGTGTTCGACAAAAAATCTAATTTAAATTTGTCTCAGCAATGACTTTTTAACCATTATTAAATTTGTATTGTACTACATTGTATTGTACAATGTAGTATGCAGTTTCGCCGAAAAGGATTATTTGTTTATAACCGATTTCATCACAGCCCCAAAACATGCGCGAAAAAAGTTTATACCGTCTCTCAATGTCAAAGCCGTATCTAAAATAGGGCAAACCGTGAAATTTCACACAGAAGGTTATTCGGCAGCGTTCGGTTCACTTGACTTTATTTGAGTGCCATATAAAAAAATAATTGATTTTACCAATCAATCAATCTAGAGGCTCAACAGTGATATAGTTAATAAAATTATATTATTCTGATAATTTTCTATACAGTCATATAGGTTTTACAGTCTTAAAAACGTATACAATACCATTTGCACGGCGAACGTAACAAATTACAAGTATTTTGTATATTTTAACTCGTTAGATATTTTTCAATTTTCAAAAATAGTGTACTTGTACGTTTTTCTATCGTTGTCGTAAAACATTCAAGCGTACATTTAAAAAAAAAACTTGATGTGTTCCGTTAATTTTTATTGTCTTTTTTTATATTTACTACTTATGTTACTATCATAAAATTGTAAGTTCTATCATTCAATGTTTTATTTGACACAAGTCACATACTCCCAGTAACACGTTTGTGTGTAAACTATTGATGATGCGTCCATGATGTAATATTCATTGTGAAATAATTTGCAAATACATTTTCAGGTGTCTCTTTAATTACATACATTGCACGGTCGTAGAAAATCATTACTTAACTATAAGTCGTCGTCAATATGTTTTTTTTTTTTTTTTTTTGGACACAGTGTCGTTTTGAAAATGCTACTCGAGCCGCTCGATAAAAAAATATATAAAGGGCTCAATTATGACTTTGCGAAACGTTTTTAATGGTTGATTTACAACGCGAGAAAAAGGTGATAAAACTATAATAACAATATGATAAATACCCAATTAACATTTTCCCGAAAAGACCACAAAGTGTTCATTTTTTTTTTTTTTAATTCGGTTATCCGATATATAATATAATATCATCACACTACAATGTATTACACGGACTTGTGATGTTATGCACGTGTACTTACTTAGTTACCAGGGCACGGTACTTACAGGCTACAGGACAGTTTTGCAAATAAATTTTCTGCCGTAAACTGGTATACAATAATATAACGTTGGCCATGTTACATAAGACGTTCATTATAGGCGTGTTGACATTGTTAATTTGTTACAATTACCGTGTCTGGTATAGTTTTGGTTCATTAATAAATTCGACTCTTATCGTTGCGTACAACGCGTTCGCGTTTCGCTAATAAAAATCTATGGCAAACTGCCATTTAGAAACTTGTACAAACTGTACACTATATTAAGATAGTATGTATATTATTATGAATCATCGACTTTTAGCTTTCAATTCCTAACAAACCGCAAGCCGGTATTAGATTGTTAATATTATTATCTGCCGTTATTTTAGAATGTTCCCAGGTAAGCGTAAATCGTACATAGTTCATAATATATAGTGTGTCTTTAAACACAGGATAACAGACAGTCGGTGGAGAGAGCTTAGTCATCAACTTGCCTGGTAACGGCATAACAAGTATTATCAATAATTTTGCTATGGCGACTGTTTAGTCGCAAACACGTTAAATATGCGTTTCAAGTTCAAAACCGAATTTACATACTTCATTTTCTAAACACTATCATAAGGTTCTAACCTATAGCGTTGGCAAATCATGCAAGACGAAGACTTTGAGGAGTCGATGCGCAAAGTGAACCTCATCGGTAAACGATACTACAATACCGTATTGTTTATTATTCCTTTGTGAAATTTCTCGTGTCGTAGGCGGCATAATTAAAGACTTGGGATCCAAGGACGAGAGCAAGGCTCGTTTGGGTCTGCGACGTGCAGAAGAGTTGTTGGGCGACGGCGACAAAACGTGGGACGAAGCTTCTTTGAAAACAATTCAGAACGGCACTCAAATCAACCGAAAGGCGTTCGAGGACTTGGACAAGCCCAAAGATCAAGTCCCGTCAGATGCAGGTATAAACAAGTTAATCGATAAGTAAATATATTTTTATCAACCATCAAATTATTTCTATAAAACCCAATGTACAATTATTGTACTATGGTTTTGTACTCCAAAACTAAAACGTCATCCGAATCCGAATCGGTTTCTTTTCTTCTATTATTATTATTATTATAATTATAATACTTAGCACTCGACCAATCGATTTCGACTGTTGTAATCGATAATTAATATTCGAGTGTCAAAGTATTTTAGTCGGTGATTATTTCAACATTTCCGGTTAGGTCTTAACTATAGTCAGAGTTCTCTAGCTTCATGTGTGTTTATAGCGTACCTATAACCCATTGTGCTTATGTAACTATGTCGTTTAATTATTATAGTCATTGGTAATCGCACAATGATACTAAGAGAATACTCTATTCTCGTCGCCCAGCCATTGTACTATTATGCACGTAGGTCTAACGTTGCGTCCAAGTCCGATTAGTTAATTTTTGCGAAATGTTTTTTTTTTTGAAATTTCATTGTTAATTGTCATTATGCTATTATAATACCTACACACGATGTGTGTGCACAGACCCGTCGCTTGCGTTACTATAGTGATTTATAATAAAACATAAAATCAATCGCACCGTGTGCTTTCTATGTTGCCCAAATAGAAGGTATTGCGCACATATGTAGGCCAATATAACCTACTTGGACATCAAACCGACTGTTTTAAAATATGTATTAGAAGAATACCTTTTATGACCGCTGCAGAACCATATTATTCTATCCCTAAATAACAGTCAAGTAGTCAAACTTTTCGTCTGCTTATAAAATATTTCCCCCATTTATATATGTATATATTTGTATTTTAGGGCTTTAGGGGTGGTCCTACGTCGCTTGTGTGCTATTCCACTATATGGGTAGATGGTAGATGTTATGGGGCCCGAGAGTGTACATTGGCAAATAGAACATATTTTCCGTTCAAAAATCGTTTTTATTTTATTTTTTAGTCTCGATGATGTCGAACTGAAAAGGAATTGGATTTATAATGATGGGTCCTTTTTTTTCAGTTGATTTTTTACAGTGGACCAGACCGACGACCGGGATTTGATCCCTCGTGCTATTATGGTTTTTCAGCGCGTAAATTGCTCGCAGTTATAATTTTGCTGACCGGTATATATATTTTTTTATCATCACCAAATCCTCCAATTTCAACCGTTTTCTACCTCTACTTTTATTTTTTTCATAATTTTTATCGCTGTAAGCTCAATTATTGCGCCCAACCTATATAAACGGTAATATTTTGCGTTAGAATAAAAAAAACCTTTACCTTTTTATTATTAAAAACATAACTGATCCTTATCCGGATAAGTGTAGGTGCAGATTGATGGAATGCATCAACACATTTACTTACACTGCCAACTTCATACTATTTAATACAGAGCTTTGCGTTTTTGTTATTTCAGCCGGTTTTATGGCTTACGTGGAAAGAGATGCGAAACAGAGAGCCGAAGCCAAGAAAAAAGAAATCAAACAGTCAGATTATTTGAAGTCTATGGGAAACAACGAGTATAGAAAACAGAATTACGAAAAGGCTTTGATTTATTACAATCAAGTAAACATGATACCGTATTGATACGACTTACAGTTTATGTCTTAACCTATATTTACTGATGTTATACCATCTCGCTAATTTATGGGAAACTTCAAAACACGTTTACAATGATATTTTGTGCCGGCTTTTCGTCGAATCTCCATACTGGATTCCGTGACAATCTCGTCAAGTGACGGCTTGTGGCGATTGATTGTACCGTTTTTAAATTGTATTATTATTTGTGCAATCTCCGTGTCCGTGTAAATACTTAAATACTATTATGATTACTTATCGATCGAGCGGCACAGTCGAATCGACGGTAATTCAACTTTGGACTTGCGTGCGTCCAAACTTTGCCGAGATATACCTGAAATGACTTAAGGTCCCGGGGGACGACTTCAGTATTCATTTCGTTCTCGATGTGGAAAATATGTAATACAAGTTTTAACCGGTGTAAACACACAGGATTTCTCATTAAAAATTCAATGTGACACTCAGCGTGCCGCCGATTCCCTAGCCGAGTCAATCGCTATAGCTATATAGGTAGATGGGAAATTGCATTTCAGTTAAATAAAAAATACATGTATTATCAAAAATATAACAGTACCGAAGTATCATTTATGTATCAGTTATAAGGTTCAGTAACCGGGTCATTATGTTATGTTATATAACGCATGGAAATGAAAATTTAAAAATAAAATAGTACAATAATTATTATCAGGCATAACCTGTATGGTTTAAAATTGTATTGACCGATATTATTTGAGACGGTGAGCAACAGTAGCAACTAACTCACAAAAATGTTACCACGTTAATTTTTTTATTTACACTGTTCTAGGTCCAATAAACATTTTTCAAAGTTTTTCCATCTAGTGGATAATAAAAAAAATATTGCTGCATTAAAATATTTTCAATTCTAAATGAAATTGTACTATTATTTTAATTTTTCAATTTTTGCGGGTAACTGCCACCCACTGTTGCGCTCACCGGCCACCGCCTCATTTAATTTATTCATAAAGGCTGTAAGGGTCACGCCTATTAGAAAAATACGAATGTTCATAAAACGAATGAAATCGTTTTTAAACTATGTATTTACATTTTTTAGTAATGACTTGATGTTGCCAAAAAGTACGTATTTTCAATATGAATACCTGTGTATTTATCATGTCGGACTCTTCAGTTCTCAAACGCTCACAACTACTGAATCAGTAAACGCTGTTTAATTACATATTTCATTAAAAGTCGAAGTAAACAATATATTGTTTTAAACAATTACAAAAATTGACATACCCAACAAAAACTAAACATTTAAGCGCTCAACTCCTTTTACATAGTGTATCATATATATATCTAATACGGAACGTTTATTTACATACGAACTTACTTTGATTATACTAATTAATTAATTAATTAAGAGTTTTGCGCATTCCTATATAGTAATTAGTACCCACAATAATAATAATATGGTTTACACCGTTCGAAAAATAAACACGTCTTGTAATTAATAAAAAATAACAATCCATTATTACTTATTATCGTACATTCAAGTACCGTTATGATATTTTTATTATAGAGCCTATCTATAAAATGCCTCATTATTATATTCATTTTAAACAAACTGCGCAAAATCACATTTTTGTTTTATGACTTGTTTACAACAGTGTATACTTCAAACATACTTAGTATACTCATAATCTCGAGATATGGAGCAGTGTAACGCGGATAAACCAATAAACATTAACAATTCGGAATGTAACATACCGTGTAATGCGCAAGTATAGTCCATCAGTTACTGCTGATATTTATTACTAAAAATATTAGTTAAAGATTAAACCCAAAGTACATCAACACGGGGTGCGCACAAACCATTACACGAAAAATGTCACAAATATTAAATTTGTTTTTAATAAATAAATAAAAATTAACTGTCCGACGTCAATGAAAAATATCCAATATCAATCAATGTAAAATTGAATACAGATTTAGAGAAAAAAAAATGTTTGTTGTTGGTACATTTTCATTTTTAGCCCAAAGTTTCCCGGGATCCCGACTTCCAATTTATACTTCGACTTGTTCAGAACTTGACATAAAATTGTAATTGAACAATAAAAAAAAACAGTACTTAATCTTAGTCGGGGGTACTTACTATATTTTAATTTTAGAGGGACATCAACTTATTAATTTTAAATCATTAAATACACGGGTCAATACTGTTTTATTTATTTGTTCTTTATCTTGGAATTGTAATTTGTGAATAGTATACAAAAATCACTTGTACCCCTTTTGATTCGATGATTAGTGAACAGAAAAGTTTACTTGTCACTGTGATGGCATTTACAGATTTACTTACTAGCTTTGTAATAATATGGTTACAAGGTACACTTTTAAACTATTCTTGTTAATTCAACGGTTGGGTATTTGTTTTGGGATTATTCGTGGATAATTAACGTTCGATTGTGGTTGTTAGATTTAACCAAAGATCACTTGTTCTAAAAAAACAAACTTGCCTAATTTGATCTCCTACCTTTTTGTTTTTAACGTTTATTAATTTAAATTTGTTCAGGCTATCGACGTGCGCAAAGACAGTTGTTTGTTGTACAACAACCGGGCTTTGACGAAAATCAATTTGGGCCTGATGGACGAGGCGATTGACGACTGCGACAAGGCTTTACGCATTAACGAACGGTCGCTGAACGCCATGCTGTACAAAGCGGATGCCTTATGGGGGTTAGGAGACTCGGATGCTGTCAAACAGTTGTTGGATGAAGCTCTTGCCGGCCATCCGGACAAACAGCAACGGATACTAGGTAAAACGAATCAGTTTTCAGCATCGATGGACGAATTAATGATGGATAATTTTTTCTTTAGATTTCCAGAAAAAATTCAGTTACCGTTAGAGAGACAATTTTCACCAAACTACTATACTCTGCCGGGATGTTATCGACGGAATTAATATTTAAAATATTATATAATTACAACTTTTTCGTTCTCACGCGGTTAAATAAAACGCTACCGATCGTTAGGTGGTTATGAAGAAAAAAAACGTAGGTACAGATTCGGTTCGCAAAACCTCTTTTTTTTTTTTTGTGAAACTATTGTGTTTTGGTACGCGATCATACCTACGATACGATTTGTATCTACTGGTGTTATCCCGAGTGTGTAATAACGTAGGTGTACAATAAAACTGAAAATAAAATAACAATTATTATTATTATTTTATTACCGGCATTGGTTTGTTGTACCTACTTATTGTACAGTCGTGTGCGTGTATAATGTGTAACGTAATATATCGGAGAACTATCTATAATAAAAACGCATTTAATCGAAGAATGGAAGAAGAAATACATTTGACAGCGCACAAAATATATATTATCACTGCTATTATACAAATTGCAACGATCCGTTTAAACAGAATAAAACACCGTCGACGTCCAAGTGACATTCGAATTTCCTTGTCATATTTTGTGGTCTGTCAATAGAAAACGAGATTGATAAAAATCTGTTTCTCGTCAATTGACGAAACGGATAACATCCCAAAATTCATCGGACAAATAAAATACACGGAGATATTACAAATTGAATAAGACAACCACCCCCCCAATCGAAACAGTTTATTAAGTGCGCGACACTTGAGGAATAGCCGAATAGTAAAATAAAGAGTTATTACTATTAGTATATTCTGTATTGACTAGGGCGTGCGGACAGGATCAATTGTCGGTTAATTGTATTGGACGACAACGGCGCATATGGCCCCGTTAATTTGATAATTTATGGTGGAAACGGTTATAACGAAGACAAATTGTTGACGTTATTATTAGCTCAAAATGCATGAATATATTTTATGCGCAATTTAAAACAATTGAAAAAAAAAAATGAATTCAATTCAGCGAGACACGAGGTGTATGCCCGATTAATTGTTAAACTCGTTTGAGAAGACAAATTATGACTTTTATTACTGCGATTTATATCTATGCGTTCACCAACCGGACATCATTTATCTAAAATCTTAACACTCATTATGTCATTCGTTTATTCTACTAATGATACTGGTAAATAATAATTATTTATGCTTGTTTATCGAACTACGATCGATACGCTTATAATAATTTATCACTGTGTTAAGTCACACGCTGCGATATAATATTCGCGTCCAGTGACGGTAAACATATTATTCTAGGTAATTCTACTATAATTGCTTACAATCGCTAATTGATAGCCCGGCGACGGATTTCAACTTGCATAATTAAAATATACATTCTTATTGTGTAAGTCCAAGTCATTCCGAGTATAACGCGAGCATGCGTCCGGAATTTTATAATACTCAATAGCCCAAGTTTGTTCTGAACAAAGATTATTCGGTCTTGCTACTGCCGTTTTTGTAGTTTTAGGTTTTATTAAAATTCTCGGGGCGTTGAACTTCCATACTTTCAATCATTAACCTTCGCGGACTAAAACAAAAGTTGAATTGCAAATACAACTCTTTTTTTTTTTTTGTCGGTTTTTTATACTTCAGGATCTGTTTGAACGTTCCGTCTTTTTTTTTTTAAATAGTTTTTAAACTTTAAATAACACATTTCAAAAGTTAAGAGGTAATTAAAAATATTTCCTTCGAACACGCGACTTTTAATTAATTCTGGGAACCACTAGTTCTACGTTCGACTTGGCAGTGGCAAACCACATTTCATAACATCCAAAAGTAGGTGCCGTCGTCGTTTTATTATAATAATAACAGCTTTAGTTTGTAACTATTTTGAAGTTGAACACGTATACTGGAATCTACTGCAGTTGCCAAATGATTTAAAAAATTCATAATCATGTTTTTTTTTTAGCACAGTACAAATATATGAATTTATTGTTGAGACGAGTGATTTACTCGAAATAGCAGTCATAGTTGAAATTCCACTGTTAAGGGATTAATGGGAGAACATATTATATTAGTGTTCTTATATAATGGCCTAATACTAAAAAAAAAAAAAAATATAATATTTAAAATTTAAAGCGAAACTCAAGGTCTATTTTCTGTATCGTGTTTGACAGTAGTTACTAGTTGGGTATAATATAGAAGTAACAATAGTAGTTTTCCTCTAAAATAAATTAATCCCACATAAAAATAATTAAAATTAAAAATAAAACGAAATAACTTTTTACCGGATTAATTAAAACTCTAATTACATTCATGTTCAGCAGTGGCCAGTGTATGATAATTATATTTCCTGGTTTTATCATTACAACTAAAAAAAATTTAAAGCAGTTTTGGTAAAAAAAACTGTTTGATTTTAATGCCGTTTTCAGCCTAATAATGTTTTACCTTCTGTACTTCCAACAGTAAACGTCATTACAAATTAATAAAAAAAAATCAAACCGAATATACAATTCACTTAAAGTAGAAATAAAAAATATAAAATAAAACAGTTAACCTGTATAAAATAAAAAAACGGCATTTTTTTTATGGCGTATCCATTAACAGTTTTTTCATTACAAATAAAACAAATGTAAAATATTTTAATTTGTTTTTCGAACGCTAAAATGTGTTACACTTAGATAAATAATAAACATTTTCAAATAGGTTAAGCTGTTAATAATATTGACTTAACCTTTTTACGTATTATTTTTAATCTGTACTTGAACAGAATTTTACCAACTGAACAATTATGCGATAATATCACTTCTTCCATACACACTTCATACACACATCTACCGACCAACCGAAATGTTTATTTGGTTAAAACACAAATCTAGGTAAAGACTATAGGTAGTAGGTACAAGATGTACGAAAAGCGATTACTATCAACAAATTTGTTTCATTCATATACTATTAACTATTGATCGTATAAAAGGTATTTTTCTTAATAGTGTCTTGTGAAAATCGTAAATCTAAGTTAATCATAATTTATAGCATTTAAAAATAGTAAACACTAATATTACTTAATTAGTAAATATTATTTTTTTTATCACGAGCGTAGTTATTAAATCATAATGCAATATATTATTACTAGTCGATTTTATAAAAAAATTAACTTCTCACTTTTGAGTAAGGCAAATTGCATTTTCAAAGACGGGAGATAGGTCCTCAATTAATAGTTTAGTTACTCGGTTGTTACTTCCAATCTCAGTTCGACTGTGACGGTATTAATTCAGTGTAAAGATAGCAAAAAAAATTCCAAATTATATTATAAAGGTGTATAATAAAAGGTCCACTCTTAATTAATGATTACAATACAGTACACAGTATGGTTTTTACATTTTATAGAAACATTTAATTTTTTCGTACAGTGCCATTCAATTCGTAGAGTTAACCACGGAACTACCTAACATTTTCTGTCCCTCGTCGGTTTTCGACTAAAGGGTAAGTCGTAAATCTATTTATTGCAGGTATAGCGTGCACACTTTCATTTAGCTTTTAATAAAACGCACGGCGACACTCGGCTTAGTCGATTACACCAACACGCGATACCACGACCGCACTATGTACTGTATTTATAGGGTGATTTCGGTATAATAATGTGTAATACCAAAATTAGAAAATATAATCTACTTATGTGTAATGTGCTGCCCTAGGCCTTCAGAAGGTCCAATCCGGATTTTCGACCATAACTGCCATACTTGGGATATTAAATATACATTTACTTATCGCGTAATAGGATTTATACCGCCCATTACCTCCAGTGTACCCAAATTTAACCGGTGTAACTACAGTATAGAGGATAACGCAAAAATCGCAACCCTTTTGCGAAAATAAATCATTTCAGTGTATTGTTTAAAAGTCGGCAAGTGCGAGAGCGAGGACCTTTTTTGAACCGGAGGTACGGTATTTTATAAGAACGGGGAAGAAGTATTCGTTTGCCAAGAACAAAGCCAGTGGATTAATTACTTTCATAACTATATAAATATCTATATATATAGGTTCTCTCTCTAATTTAGGTCTCTCTAACGTGACATTTAATTAACACGCTAAAATCCGTTTCGAATCCGTTAAGATCACGTTCTGTGTAACAATGATAATAATAGTTTTAAGGTGCCGTCAAAGAGTACGATAACGGCCTTTATATAATTAACCCTTTATTTATGTCCCGGGATACTCAGTTAAAAGGTTATTAAATAAATTAATTATTTTAATTTTGTTCAGTTGCACTTGCCTCGTTTAAATGCAGTTACCCCGCTTTACATATTTATTTTTCCTTTTTCCTTATGTTTGGTGGAAATTACTGCGAGTAAAATATTTGATTGAGTTTTTTTTTAAATAATTATTAAATTAGTAAGATTTACTGAAATATATTTGTATTATTGTTATTTAATTTCCTGACAAAACAATATGATTATGTAAACATACTTTAATAATATTAAAGATATGCTAACATTTATTATGAAATACTATTAAAATATGTAATTTTTGTACAGTAAGCCTGTTTTGCCCACTTTTGTTTTTTTGTAGGGGAGGGGTAGAAGTTGAGGATTACAGTAAAAAATAATGTGTGTCCGAATTTTCATAATTTTTTCAGTGTACTATAATAAGTACTGGAATAGTTATTGAAACAATAAAATATATTTAATCGTTACCGAATGTAGTACCCGAATTTGGCTCATACAACTGAGCGTGCATTTTTAATATAATATCTATAATAAGATTTCAACCTAATAATGAATGCAACGTGCATTAAATGTTTTTTTAGCCGCTACAACATGTGTGCACTGCAAATGGTAGGTAGCAACAATGTGTTATTGTGCTCCGTTTAGAAATTAAAGATATATAAAAAATGTGATTAAAAAAATATTATTCCAATCATAATAATAATTAATTAGCGAACCGCATATATGTAAATTAAACAACCAAAGTAATTAACTAACAGCTAATTATATATTATTAACGTGTCGGGTTTTTATACTTAAGACAAGGAACGCGGTTAAAACCATAAGTCAATTATACTGAGAAAAAAAGGAACGCTCCACGGTTATTTGATTATAACGGTTATTGCTGTAGTATCAAATCTGAAATAAAGCAGGATAGAAGTTAGAATAATAATAATTATCAGATTATCACTAAATTATTCAAATTTCTACTTGTTGGAATGGCAATACCGTTTTCTTTTTTTTATTATTATGCGGACTGTATGCATAATGTTAATTTTTGATTGCGTCTATTTGGTACTGCAGCCATTGCCTTATGTCAAGTCTTAAAATGTGTATCGTGAGA